GAACAGCAGACAAAAGCAGCCTCTCCGCCCCTCCTCCCCCTATACATGCTGGGCTCCCTGGGCAAACAAAGACTCCACCAAAACAAACAAAGTGCTGGCCTCATTGTGTTAGCAAAAAAAGGACCCTCCTCCTAGAACCCGAACAGCAGACAAAAGCAGCCTCTCCGCCCCTCCTCCCCCTATACATGCTGGGCTCCCTGGGCAAACAAAGACTCCACCAAAACAAACAAAGTGCTGGCCTCATTGTGTTAGCAAAAAAAGGACCCTCCTCCTAGAACCCTGGGTGGTGTGTGGAAATAAAGCTATTAGCTCAAAGCATGGTGCAGAGCTGTTTGGTATTTGATGAGTTACTCCTTTAGTCCTGAGTTTGTCACAGGGACAGAAATAGATGTGAAATCTTCTGAACAGGGGAACAGACAGCAAAACAAACATTAGAGGGGAGTTAACCTTTCCCTATGCTATCCAAAACTAAAAAAAATGTTTGGCTAGAGTTTACCCTACAATATGTACCAGTTCCGACTTACATACAAATTCAACTTAAGAACAAACCTACAGTCCCTATCTTGTACGTAACCCGGGGACTGCCTGTATATTATGCGACTTGAATTAGTTCAGAAGTCTGTCTGGACAATTTAATATACTCCCTTTGTTTCAGCAGCGGGTACATCTTCGCCAGGGCCCCTCTAACTCCACTGAACAAAGGCAGGATTTGCCAAAGCAACTTCCTCTTCCTAAAGAGGAAAAAGTAACATTATTGGGACTGTCCTAAAGCAGCTAATTACCCTGGCAAGTCCTCCATGCTCTTGACTCTTTCTTCTGCCTTCATGGCTCTACCAACACCAGTCAGGCATCAATCCACCTTCTGCTGTTCTCACACCAAGGCCTGCTGCCACCATGCCTTGTGCGCCTGGACTACCTTCCCTGACATGCTCCTAGTCTTTATTCTTATTCTTGGGGCATGCATTATAAATCTATGTCTACCCACACTTAATTCTTGACCTGCCAAGTCCTTTAACTTCGGACTGACAATGCGCACATTTAACTTCATCCTTCATCATCTCCCCATCTTCTATATGTTGTCTAGTTCAAGGGAGGGGCAGAGAGCCTGGCTCTTTATCTGCCTGTAGTGCACAGAGGATGCCTTTGGCATCATACAGGTAAGAACCAACAATTACAATGATATTGAAATGTGCTTGGTTCTGTCCCCATAGCTGAAATGTATCCACTCTGGACACAGCCAGCTCCTCCTGAAGTAGACAAAGTACCTATCCAAACAGAGGCGGGTAAGTTTATTTCTTATGTACAGCAATGAGGTTATTTTGAGATAACTAGTAAAGAATTCTGGCTGATACATTTATGATAGAGGAATTAATTAATTTGTCTCTGTATGTGGGTACAAACTGTCATGGAAACCCAGACTCAGGGTTGGAAGGAGAGAAACACTTTTATTGAAACACAGCTGTGGGAAGTTTCAAAGGAAGACTTCAAAATCAAAATGTCTGCAGCAACCTTATATATCCAGGGTTACAACAAAATGGAATAGACAATATGTACACTAGTAACAGCCTTATGATTGGCTTAATCTTCAGAGCTACCTCTATCTCAAGTATGCATAGATAAGCTTAGTTACATGAGTTTTAGCTCATCCTTCACAAGCAGCTACACTAGATCAGACTGGTTTCAGTCGGTTCACTATCTGTCACACAGTGCAGGGTCACATTCAGTCAGTTACATACAAGCATCTAGAACAGCATACATTTTCCTTCTCAAACATATCTTACCCTAGACCTTAGTCCGTCCTGTGCTTTTCAGCACATTGGACGACCCACATTCTCCATGCTTGCTTATCAGTTGCCATGTGACCCAAATTCTCCCATTTCAAATTATTTTTGCTATGTGTTTGATAATAATCAGACACTTCCAAGTCATTCTAGGTCTACCCCTCTTTCTTGTTGGATTTTCTGGCTTCCAACTAAGAGCCATAATAGGTAGACGGTTCTGATCCATGCTCTAGCCATTGATGTCTTCTCTAACAAATTATTTGGGATAGAAACCTCATTTTAGCCATTTTTCTGGCCTCATCATTCCTTTTTGTTTCCTCATAGCTTAGAGCTAATAATCTCCACAAGCACTTGTGATGAAATGCATCTAACTTCTGAGTATCTGTGTTGTTAAGTTGCTAGGCTTTACTGTTGGTTGCTATGGCTACAACAATGGCTGAGTAAATGCTTAGGGTACGTCTACATTGCGCACTCTTGCACAAGAAGATATGCAAATGAGGTGCAGTGATGAATATCGCTGCACCTCATTTGCATACCTAATGAGCCGCCATTTTTTCACAAGGGGCTTTTGCACAAGAAGAAGCAGTCTACACTGCTCTTGTGCAAGAGAGGGCTTTTGCACAAGAAGGAGCAGTATAGACTGCTCCTCGCGCAAAAGCCCCTTGTGCAAAAATAGCGGCTCATTAGGTATGCAAATGAGGTGCAACCATATTCATCACCATGCCTCATTTGCATATCTTCTTGCACAGTGCAGACATAGCCTTAGTTTTGTATCTAAGGATACGGTATAAAGTTTCCAAATGTTCCTAAGTTTACTGAAGGCTGCATTCACTTTGCTGATCCTTATTTTTATTTCTTCAGAGCATGTACCATCTTGGTTTATTGTGCTTCCAAGAGATTTGAATTAATCTACCCTCTCTAACTGTCCATTGATTTGGATGTTTAAATCCACATTTCCAAGTACCAACTTGTTTTCTAAAAACTCTGGCATCTATAACAGATGTTTTCCATCTTTGATTGATACACATATTGTCTATTTCATTCCATTTTTGATCATCTGGTGATACCCAGGTCTTTGCCTGAATGTTTTTGTGCTAAAAATTTGAATTGAAAACACTACACTTATTTTCTAACAAAAATTATAGGTCTCCAGTACCATTACTTGACAATGTTCCAGGTGTGTGAGGGCCTATAACTGTTTCCCAGCCATTTCTATCCTTCCCAATCTGGGCATTGAAGTCCCCCAGAACAAGCACTAAGACATGGCTTGGTGTTCCTTTCGCTACATTTCCTAGTTCTGAATAGAAGCTGTTTTTATCTTCTTCACCAGCATCATTTGTGGGTGCATATACTTGTACTACAGTACACTTTGTATGTCTGGATTTAAATCTCACTATGAGTATTCATGCTGGCTGCCTGGTCATTGGTGACTGTTTCACAGCTGTATTCATTATAATTCTGACTCCTAGCTCATGTTTACTTCCACTTGAATAATTGTTTTGGCCCCTGATATTAACAAGCCTTGATCTTTCTATTGAACCACACAGCCCTAGGATATCAAGTATATACTTATCCATTTCACTGGTTACTTGTGCTAACTTTCCAAATCAAAGTTCATACGTTCCAAGTGGCTATACAGATGATTTCTTGAATGTATTTCTGTGTGGTTCCTTGACCTTTTACTGAAACAGCCATATGTTGCTATTAAAATGCCAAGGCACGTGACATCTTTTTCTCTCCTTCCTTTATAACAGCCCTGCCTTCTTCATTGTTGTCCACCCCTGTAGACAAGCCTGAAGTGTTACCAAAACTTCATTCAGCTTCTAGTAAGTACTTGCTCTCTATGCAGCAAAAAATGAAGGTACTCACAACATACACTTGCTCAGATTTTCCCCTGTGAAAAGAACAGATGTGTTTTAAATATGTGATGCTATGTCATATTTTGATATTACATATATTTATGCATACCCACACTGATTTCATTTGTGGGTCATATAAGGCTAATATACTCAATATGATATTAATAATGCATTCGCCTATGTGGTACATGTGTTGGTTTTAACTTTGGAGAGAATCTGAAAACTCCCTCATGCAAAAGAGAATAGCATGCTTCCAATACTCTTATTGGTAAAACTCAATCCCTGTAGATACAAACACAGCTATAGGAAGAAAATCAAAACTGTTTAATAGTCCAGCAGACCCATATGCTCAGAATGAGGCCAACTTCTTTTTGTGATGTAAATGTCAGCATGTTAAAAATCTTAGGTTTTCACAAGATCTCAGCACATTAGGTTAGATTTGGACTGTAGCCCTGGCCAGAGATGTCACAAATGGGAGGTGAGTACTTTTAAACCCCTGGCTCTATTAAATATCCAGAGGGAACTCTTTTGAAAAATCTGGTCAAAACCATGGTTGCCAAACTTGTGAAAACCTGGCTCTGAGCTCGCTTGGAAATTAGCCCCAAGTTACTAGATCACAGCTGACAACTGAAAGGCATAGTAGCATAGAAGCAGAGTTGGGCTAAATCTCCATAGCAAGTCAAATCAAAGCTTTCAATATGATTCTGGAAACAGAAGGAAACTTTTGTGCTCAACATGGATATCTCTATTGCTTATACTGTATGCTTACGATAGGAAAAGAACACAGAAGCTAAGGTGACGTAGAATCCTGTGGCACCTTATAGACTAACAGATTTATTGGAGCATAAGCTTTCATGGGCAAAGACCCACTTCGTCAGATGCATGCATCTGACGAAGTGGGTCTTTGCCCATGAAAGCTTATGCTCCAATAAATCTGTTAGTCTATAAGGTGCCACAGGACTATTCGTCGCTTTTGCAGATTCAGACTAACACAGCTACCCCTCTGATACGGAAGCTAAGGGAAACTAAACCTTAATCATGGTTTCCCCAGCAGCAGTCAGTTTCTGGCAAAACTCACAGGGTTACTGAGATTTGGGCTGGAAAAGGATTCAAGCATGTAGATATACCTTATCTTGAGCCAGGGGGATACCTCTTTTTGGAAGAAGAGAAGAATTTGTTGGTTTGTGGGGGGATTGTTTAATCTTGATTTTCACTTTATATTTACACCTTCATAGTGGTCTCCTGGATAGGAATGTGAATATCTCATTTTCAGAATATATCTTGATTTATGCTAAGAATTTTCAGCGCCAGATAGGACACTACATTTAATGGGAATTTGGCATCCAAGTTGTATAGGCAGCTTTGAAACACCGAACTTTAATCTCACTTTATTCAACTCAGCTATGCTATCTTTTGAAAGCCACCACTGAACTCAGTTCTCGAATGCTATTTGCTTTTATACTGTGACTTTCAATATACATCTCAGAGTGCCTTTGCAAAGGTGTCACTTCAGCCACCTGTCGGGCAGGACAGGCAGGCTGTTTGACAGTGCACAGCAGCAATGCTCCACAATACAGCAGGACAGCCTGTGAAAAAAGAAAAGGGTGATTGATTGGAAGGGCGGAAGGAATTCAGTTCAGCGGCATGCTGATTCCCTAGTTGGAATCTAGTCGGGACCCCAAGGGTTTATCCAGAAAGAGCCACAGAATATGTGTTGACCATGAACATTCAAGATCCTGATTCAACTGTTGCTAGTATCTTTGGGTAGACAGGAATGCAGAGAAAAGAATGCGACCTACTGAATCATCAGACCATGTATTGCAGCACTTTGGTAGTCTTCTGGCCAACTGCTGACCTGTCCCTGTTTAGCATGGTGTGATATAACCGGGTCCTGGCACAAGCTGGAATGGCTGCCAATGCTTTGCTGGTGCTTCATAGATTTTGAATGTTTTTTCCCCTCTCCCATTGGAAATTTCCTGCCGAGCTTCAGTCCAGAAAGGTTACTTCTCTTGTCCTTTTTCATACTCAGTCTCATTTCTGAGAATAGCCCATGCTGACTGTCCTAGACCTTCTCTCAGGCAGGCAACACATCTCTTAGTTTAAAGACTCCCACCCAAAGTGCACATCCACCTCTCCTCCTCACATGTATGCCCCCATCTACTTTCAGTCTGCCTACCTATCTCTGCTTTTTCTCTATGCCCACTGTGGCTGCCACTCCACTCTCTAGCTCCCTATCAGCCATTCTCCCCTTGGCCTGGGTGTGCATCATATGGGCGTCCCCGCCCCTGGGCACATGGCACAGAAGCGGCACCGGCCCCAGGAACACGGCGCATGGGCGCTGCCGGCTCCTGGACGCGTGGCACAGGAGTGGCACTGGCCCTGGGCATGCAGCGCAAGGGCTGTTCCGGCCTCGGGCGCACAGTGTATGGGTGGCCCCGCCCCTGGGTGCGTGGCACAGGAGTGGCACTGTTCCCGGGCGCATGACGTATGGGCAGCCCCACCCCTGGGCATGTGGCACAGGACTGGTGCCGGCCCTGGGAGTGCGGCGCATGGGTGGCGCTGGCACTGGGCACATGGTGTATGGGTGGCCTCGCCCCCAGGCGCCCAGCAGCCCCAAAAGGTTGGGGACCACTGTTCCACATCATCTCACAGATGAGAATCCCCAGCATCCATAGGAATGCCTTAGTGGATCAGACCCATGGTCTATCTACCTTGTTTGGCCCCCTTTAACACAGTTTTTGAGCATCTCACAGTCATGAATGTGTTTTTCCTCAGAACACCCCCATGGGCAGGCTGTGCTATTATCTCCATTTTACAGATGGGGCACTGTTGCCCAGAGTCACACAGGAAGTCATTGGTGAATCCAAGATGGCACCTGTATCTCCCAACTCTGAGGCCAGCACCTCAACTTCTGATCCTTCCTTTCTGTCTGCCCACTGGCCTGTCTCTGACAGTGACCAGCACCAGAGGCTTCAGAGAAAATGGGTTGAAACCTCATAGTAGGCAGCTGTCAGTAATCTGCCTCACTGAAGATCTCATCCTAATAATTCCCTAGTAGTTAGAGATTGGTTTAAACCCTGAAGCCTGGGGTTTAATATCCCTTGCAAATATTTTGTTAACATTAACTAATGGGATAGTCTGGTTACCCATATCCATTGTCATTCTCTCTTTGATTTTTGTTAAATTTTCATCTTCAATATCATCCTGTGGCAATGAGTTCCACTGTCTATGTGTTGTGTAAAAAAGCATTTCCTTTTATCAATTCTGATTTTTGTCACTTTTTAATTTAGTTGAACATCCCCTTGCTATTGAGTTATGAGATCAGGATTACATGATTTACCTTCTCTAAACTGTCATTGTTTATATACTCTTGAAATGCATTATCTGCAAATGTTGCTGTTTATCCCTTGCTCCATGTAATTAATAGACTTGACTTAGAAACCAGTCCCCTCGCCCTTGGCAATCCTGGGCAAGAGCATGTCCAGACGTAGACCTCATCACCTGCAACACAGATTTTACCGTAATTCATTTCAGTTACACCCAGCCATATTCCTCCCATACCTGCACTTATTCACTAGCATTGCCTATGATAGCTGTGATGATTTCCACTTGTCTTGAGAGAAGAACACCTATTGGCTTCAGGATCAGGCACAGAAAGTATTAAATATGGGAAATCATGAAATTTGCCATTTTCAAAATCCCATGACTTTAAGTGTACCATAGTAGACCATAAATTTGGTAGGAAATTGAATACGAATGTCTCTGTGGTGTGGATAAATAGGTACCCAAAATGAGGTACCAGTACAGTTCCCAAGGAGTACAGGAGAAGGACACTTTGAGGAGCACGTCGTGATGGATTGATTGAAAGCTTATGAAAAGATAAAACACAATGTTTTGACATTCTCAAAGGGAATAATAGTCATTTGAAATGGGATTCTGATAAACGTGACTAAGACAGAACTTCCTGTGATAACTCCTTGATAAAATGGGGGGAAGGAATAAGAAAAATTGACAGTGTAGGCTGCAGTAATTTTTTAAGGCAAACATTGCTTCCTTGTGGCCCTTTTGTGCTAATGGAGCTGCTCTAAAAAGAGAGAATTGGCACGTTGCATTCCCTGTGCAAATGTCTCCTAAGCAGCATGCTCAGTGAAGGTAAAGATTTTTTTCAGCGACACCCTCGGTTCTTTGTGAAGAGACTTGGAAACAAAACCTTGGTTCAGATTTACTTGGCAGTCTCACAATGATATTTCTGATTCAGAAAAGCTCTTGCACATACCACCTCATACTGTCTTATGCCGCCTCTTTTTTATTCACAACAAGCCTTTATCTAAATGTAGGCGTGGGCATGTGTGTCATGCAGATGCTACTGCAAATATCTAATTTTCTTCCATCAGGCACTTCCTGGGAGAGTTAACTCTCTATGGGTCTGTATACACTTGCACCCTATTTCGAAATAGGGATGCAAAAGAAGACATTCGAAATTGCAAATGAAGCTGGGATTTAACTATCCCGCGCTTCATTTGCATAATTGCACTATGGCGCTATTTCAAAATAAAACGCGCTGTGTAGATGTGTTATAGTAAACTTCCAATAATCCGGCACCCTTAGGATCCAAGGGGTGCCAGATTATCAGATATGCCATACTATCGGAAGGGGGGGCTATGAGGGGCCTGGGGTGGGGTGGGGGGGATGCCACCCCAGACCCCTCATAGCCCCCCCTTCCCCAGCTCTGCCCCAGGCGTCCCTCTTTCAGCCGCTGCTGGTCAGTTTCAGCAGCGGCTGAATTGGGGACACCTGCAGCAGAGCAGCTGGGGTGCTGCCGGGTTGGACTGGTAGCGCCGCCCCTCAGTGCTGCGAGACCAATCCAGCAGCACCCCAGCTGCTCTTGAGGACTCCTGGGACAGAGCAGCTGTGGTGTTGAACATAAGAACATAAGAACGGCCGTACTGGGTCAGACCAAAGGTCCA